TGAAATGTGAAGTTGAGCATTTCAATTTCAAAATGGTGTTCAAGAGCATCTGACGACACATCTATACTTTAACCCCGGTGAAGTGTGAAAACTGAATGAATACTCCATCAGGTGCTATTTATGAATTATGACCTTCCGATTAAATAGGTTGTTTTGTATAGTTAGGGTGGCACAGCTCATTTGTGAAAAACACCTCTCTGGCATTCACACACTGCTTCTTATTTCTTCTAGTCACTTTATTAGTTACATACGTTTGCCAAGGAAGAGCCCAAGCATACCCACATCTTGAATTAAAACTACGTAGTGCTCAGGTTGAAGATGGATTTGTCCTCAAGGTGACTGCCTCATGTTCAGCCAGTGTCAAACTCAATGATTGATATTTGTGCTTATGCAACAGTCTCATGGAAGAAATGACAATTCTCATTTGTAATTGACCTTTTTCTCCCAAATTGTGATTCCTGCCACTTTGCCCTTCAGAATGTGATGGGGGAAGTTGAGGCAGCTCACGGTGCAGAGGAGCCATTGGGGGGAGGGGTGGCTTTGTCCACGCCCAGTCCGGGGGCTCCGCTACGCCTCCTCGCATATGCAGGTGTGTCCCATCACTGCTTCCTCTGTGTGGGAGCCCACACAGAAAGGTTGCCATGCCAGTACTTACGGTCGTGATGATGCGTTCTCAGGCACAAGGTAGTTCTGTGCAGATTCCATTGTAAACTGTTTCTTATAATCCTGGGCTAAGACAGCAAAGCCCAAACAATTAATTGCTTACAGTCAAGTATCCTGGTTTGTTTTAGAACATTCTAGGGCCTGCAGCCAGGATACAGGCCAGTGTTTACTGACGGCAGTGGTGACATTTCAGTGATCCTGAATACTGCCGCAGCTTTCATTTCACCATGTGGGGCTCTGGGCCTCTCCAGCTTTTGCATTTAGGCCAGGTATGAGATTCTTGTTGGCAAAGGCAAACCCCACTTTCTCAAAGACGTGCTTTACTGAAATCCTCATCGTGGGGTAGATCTCACTTACCCAGAGAAACAGCAGGACTGTGTTGTTGACAAAGGAATTGGCAGGCCACTCGTCTTAAGTATCTCCAACACGTGAGTGAAGCTAAACAGTCCCACTGTAAATCTCCCATCAACAAGCCTCTTCTTGCACAGTAAGCCCCTGAATCAGTTAGGACACTGCAAGGAACAAAAATATCCAACTTTAAAAGCCTTAAATAATAAAGACATTTCATGTCTCAGAACAAAAATAGGGTGGTTCCACGCTGGTTCCGCAGCTCCTATCCCCTCATGGTAGGAAGGTGGCCGGGAAACACGCGAGCCAGCAGTAGACCGTAGAAGTGAATCATTTGCAGCATCGTGTCTCTTTCAGTGAGCGAGCCCTTCCCAGAAGCCCCAAGCTGATATGCGCTGAAGTCCTTGTCCAGGGAGCACCCAGGACCTTCTCCTAGACTTTCCTCCTCTCCGATATGTCCTTTGTTCTCTATGACCTACCCATTCTGGTCTTAATCTGCTCTCTGCCCTCTATCCCAGCAATTTTCAACATTTTTCATCTCATGGCACACACAAACTAATTACAAAAATTCCAGGGCACGCCAAAAAATACATTTTTTGCCTATATGACCAACCCCTTCCCCCCACAAAAAAAACAGACATAATGTTGATCATTCACACTGAATGGCTATTGTTCTGTTGGCCGTTGGCATTTTTTTAAATTTGACAATCTAAGGCACAAGGCCTGCCGGCCAAATCCAGCCCTCTACCTTGTTTTATCCAGCCCAGCACCTCGTTTCTACCAGCAGCAGCACTGAGCTCCTTGCCCCTAGTTAAGGAGTAGTTACATTTATACAGTCCTAAAGTTACATTCAGCCCTTTGAAGGCAACGGTGAGGCTGATGTGGCCCCCGGTGAAAATGAGTGGGACACCCCTGATCTAAGGGAAAACAGGTCAGTGCCCCAACTAAGTAGTCAGGTGTTGCATGTTTTAAAAATTCTTCTGGCACACCGGCTGAAAATCACTGCTCTATTTCTCTGATACCATGTTAATTCAAATCCTCATTAACCCCACCTGTTCTCCCTCCTTCCGGTTTATCTTCTACAATGTCTTTGAAATGACTTTAAAACACAAATCTGATGATGTCACTATCCTGCATAAAACCCTTAAGTGGTCTTAATCACATATACAATTTAATTTCCATTTTTTCCTTGATATAAGAATGACCTGTCCCATCTTTTTTTTAAAATATATTTTATTGATTATGTCATTACAGTTCTATTCCCCCCTTCATTCCCCTCCACCCTGCACACCCCCTCTCCCACCATTTCCCCCCTTTATGACCACGTGTCTCAGGTTCTTTAGATTCTGTATTTCCCATACTGTTCTTGCCCTCCCCCTATCTATTTTCTACCTACCTTCTATGCTACTTATTTTCTGTACCTTCTCCCCCCTTCTCCTTCTCCCACTCCCCTGTTGCTAACCCTCCATGTGATCTTCATTTCTATGGTTCTGCTCCTGATCTAGCTATCCTCTTAAGTTTGCTTTTGTTTTAGGTGTGGTTCTTAGTAACTGTGAGTTTGCTGTCCTTTCACTGTTCATCTTTTTAATCTTTTTCTTAGGTAAGTCCCTTTAACATTTCATATAATAAGGGCTTGATGATGATGAACTCCTTGAATTTGACCTTATCTGAGATGCGCTTTATCTGTCCTTCCATTCTAAATGAAAGCTTTCCTGGGTAGAGCAATCTTGGATATAGGTCTTTGGATTTCATGACTTGGAATACTTCTTTCCAGCCCCTTCTTGCCTGTAAGGTCTCTTTTGAGAAATCTGCTGACAGTCTGAAGGGAACTCCTTTGTAGGTGACTGTCCCCCTTATCTCTTGCTGCTTCTAGAATTCTCTTTCATTTTAATCTTGGCCCCATCTTTTAAAGAGAAAAATATCTTACGTGGAAGTTCAAGACAGCTAATGATGGCTGGAGAGCTGCTGTTGCCGAGATGGGGGTGGGGAAGGGGCTCCTGGCTCAGCCCAGTGGATGCCTCTGCTTCCCTCACATGGAGGCTCCAAAAGCCTGTCCTTGGGTCCTTGGTAATACAGGATCGTTGGTAAATGGAAACACCTCCGAGGCAGTTAATGTGGACCCCAGGAGTGTCAGTCGGGCTAACGGCATAGACTCAGATGGCAGTGGAAGCAAAGGTTAGGAACACGGGGAGTGAGAAGGGAAGAGGACCTTATCGAGAGACAGCTCCAGGAGTTATATCGCCATAATGCCCCAAGTCGTGTAATATTCAGTAACATAACATTTCTATTTCATCTTTCAAATCCTAAGAATGTGCCTTGTAGGAGAATTCATGTTTTGATTGTGTTAGACGAGTCAACCCAATCAGATGGATGCTTGAGGGCAAAGTAAGGATGGTTGAAGACCAAAATACAATATCAAAAATGGAGAATAACAAATTGTTATTGTATGAATTGTTCCTGTTTTTCCATTCTCATTCTAAGGTCAAAGATCTGTGATTTGCTTTGATAATCCTGAAGATTAATCTCTTTCTTCTTTTCAGGAGGCTTTTCATATCAGAAGCCCTGAATTGATCAACATTTCATGTGTTTCCAATTTTGATCAGGGTGGAGTTTGGGGTCGAAACAGGCTTAAGAATGGAATTTCAAAAAGAACTATAATAACTGAATATGCTAATTATTCTCCTTGCTCTTGATAGCAACCTGTATTTATTCTTTATGTCTATTTAAGAATTCAGTCCTTTGTGTTGTTCCATGCAAACTAAAGAGCTATTTAGATGCAATTTACATTCTGTTATGGAATGTGGCTTTTCTTAATAAGGAGGTTACATATTAATGAAGACTAATTGATGAATAATTTTAGCAAATAAAGACATTATCACTTCGATGGAAGAGCTTAGAGTTGCAGCAGGTATTTGCATACTCAGCAACAGCGTCACAAGGGAGGGAGGGGAAAGCAGAGGAGCTGGACAGAGGGCTCCAGGCAAGTAATGAGGGCCGTTCCAACCAGACCGGACTGTCCAGCTCTATTTGCTTTTATCTGTTCTCCTTCAAAGAAGGGTTTGACGAGAGCTTGTCTCTTTGTGTATCGTGCGGGCTCCAGGAGAGCAGGCCTTCGGTTTTGCTTCCCTCTGTCTCCTGAGGCCTCATCTCTGCCATCACGGTAGGGTTTTTCTACTTCTGCCTTGCTGTCTGCCTCTGTCACACCCTGAGCTGACCTCTTTCTGACCCCCAGTCTTTGCTGTCAGACTGTCCAGGCGAGTTTGTACAGGCAGCCTCTTCGTGGCTCCTGGCGGCTCTGCGGGGTCCAGCTGCCGGCCTCTGTCACTTACTGGCTCTTCTAGGCTGTCCAGCTGAGGAAGCCCCCGCCCTACATCATCCCCGCTTTCTTCTTTTTTAATTTGTTTTATTTTAATTGTTGTTGAAGTACAGTTTTCTGCCTTTTACTCCCATCTCAGCCCACCCGCCAGCCCCCCCACCTCCCTCCCGTTTCCACCCCCCTTAGTTTTTGTCCATGTGTCCTTTACACTTGTTCCTGTAAACCCTTCCCCCTTTCCCCTGAAATTCCCTCCCCCCTCCCCTCTGGTCACTGTCAGCCTGCTCTCACCCCCTTTTCAAATGGAGCTTCACAGAAACTCGGCACCAGCGAGAAGCAGAAAATATGTATTAATTGTCTGAGGCATCAAACTGATTTTGATTCTCTAACCTTTTAAAATGTGATGTGTGTTTAAATTAAGAGTAGCAGAGACAAAAATGATGTGGGAAAGTGATAATGTTATCCTAACCTATTTCAGTGACATTGTAGCATGGTTAAGAAAATTGACTGTCAGATTTGATCAGTGTTGTTGAAGCGAACAAGCCATCATTCTCAGAGTGGCTGGAGTCAAATTCGCACCCAGCAGGAATGGTTTTAATGACTGAAGAATCCAGTTACCACGAGAAGCAGTCTAAGCATCGCTGACCTCCTGCATTGCCTCTCTCTTATTTTTCAGGTACCACGTGCTTGATTGCTCTGCTATCAGATAAAGACCTCACCGTGGCCAATGTGGGTGACTCCCGTGGGGTCCTGTGTGACAAGGACGGGAACGCCATTCCTTTGTCTCATGATCACAAGCCGTACCAGCTGAAGGAAAGAAAGAGGATAAAGAGAGCTGGTGAGCTTGCAACCGTCCCTGAGCACTGTCTGCTGTCTCGCTGGGTGGACGGGGGCCATGCTTGGGTAGCCCCTGGGGCATAAGGTGTTTAGTTACTACTGGTCAGTAGTTCAGCACCGAGGCTGCTGCTGAGGTAGCTGAGGCTGGACTTACAATGTTGCCTATCAAATACATGGCTGCTGAATCTGCTCTGCCTCATGGCCAAAGATTCCAAAGGCCCAAAAAGAGCCCTTTACTAGTTTCAAGGCTGCCGAGATCTTGAGGTCCCTGCTTGTAATATCCTGCTTCCCTCCAGCTGTGCCAAACTACTAACCATTCCCCGAGTGGACCCTGTTTCTGATACCTCTGTGCCGGTACAAATGCTGTCTTCACTGTCTAGTGGACAACAACTACGTGTCCTGTGAGACTCAGCTTAAGGGTGTCCTTTTAGAAGCCTCCTCTGACACCCAGGCCCCCCTGGGCTGGGTTAGGTGCCTCCTTAGCCTTTTCCCAGCAGCCTAGGTGGGCCTCTGGGTCACCTTTTGTAAAGTTTAGCTCCCTTGTCTGTCTTGCCTTCCCAGCTGTGAGGTCTCTGAGGCAAGAACTTGTTCTGTTCATTTATATTATCCCACACCTCACTCAGTATCTGGTATAACAACATATTTTGAGGGGTGAAAATCCCTCGTGTATTCATTATTTTCAACACCTAGGGGTTGGGGATATAAACTTACATTCTGGAATTGGGATGAGGGTGGGAAATGTAATAGACAGACATTAACAAATAAATAAAACAAGTAAATTATCTAGAGTATTACAAGGTGAGAATATTACCAGGTGAAAACTGTTATGGAAAGAGATAAAGCAGGCAAGGGAATGGTGAGTGTCAGGAGGTGGTCTGTGTAGGCTCACGAAGGTGACATTGGGACAAATACTTGAAAGAAGATGATCAGTTGGTACTTACATTTTCATGATGAGATTTGAGGGCTGCAGTTCTTTTCTGCCTGTGGATGGGAGGCACCCTTCCCTCTCCTCTCCATACCAACAGCTGCATTGTGTGTGCTGTGCGTGATATGTGGGCTGCAGGCCCGGCTGCCGGGGGTGGGCATGTGCCCTGGGTGTCTGGCCAGGACGGGCCCCTGCTGCCAGGGGTAATTTGCAGGTTGACCCAATCTCTACAGGTCAGCTGTTGCCCAGAACCTAATCAACATTTGAGTCTTCGCAGTAGGAAGCAGTACCGTTGAGTCAAAAAGTGTTGAATTTTATTACACCCTCCTGCTTCAGTGACTGCATGTGATGCAGAATAATTTTTAATGAGAGCTCGGGTCGGGTTTTCTGTTCATGGGATGGAACAAACGATGTTTCAAGAGCGTCTGTCAAGCTTTGATGGGCTGCAGGCGGTAGGAGGGAAGTACTCTGGCTTCCTTACTTGCGAGGACACCATCTCCCATGAGTCCACGGCGACCCTGAACTGAGATACAGTTAGCCTTTTCTCGTGTGAGCGCAGGCAAGGCCAAGTATGAGATACACCTGGGAATGTCATCTTAGCATCCATCACTGTGTTCTGAAATGTCCCTCCTGTTTTACCCTCATTTTTTCATGGCATCCCAGCACCTCCGCCCTGCCCTGCAGGGAGGCCTTGTAGAAGCAAATTTGGAAACATCTCAGAGGAGCTGGATCTAAGCTGCCCAGGGGGTGTTATAGCAAAGCTGAAGTGACCACCATTGGTTTCATTACCTTCGTGTGGACTTTCTCTGACCTCAGCCTTCCTTCCAGGACATCCATCTCCCCCTTTTTTGTGTGATAATTCGCTGCAACCAGTCTGGGCCAAATACATAGTGGTCTTTCTGCCTCCATTCCTGGTGCTGTTTCCAACAACAGTGGCACCGGCTGCCGTCGTGCAGTATCACTCGGTGCTGGGAGTGGCGCCTAGCAATTTACGTGCACTCTCTCTCCCCACTTTATGACGTCAATAATGTTATCATTTTACAACCAAGAAAACAGAGCCTCCAGGAGGCTCGTGTGTGTACGACACATGGCCGGCGATGGTGAGGCCGGAGCTGAGGCCGGCTGACTCTACAGCCCGTGCTCTTGCCCGTCCCACCACGCTTCCTGGCGTGTTCTCATGCTCCCCTGCCTGTAGAAGTCCTACCCACCGCCCACAGCCCAGCTTTAACACTCACTCCTCCCTGACCTTTCCAACTGCACATCGCCCCTTCCTCCTCACCTGCGGACAGCATTTGCAGGTGCCAGTCTCTCCTTGCAAGAATACTGCTTTGTGCTTGTGGCTGTTAGTGCGTGTGGATTTGATTTCCTGCCAGACTGTCTACTTCCTTAGAGAAAGATCTGGATCTCATATAACTCTATAGCCTGCAAATTGCCTTGCATAGAGTATATGTTTAATAACTATCTGACGAATGATAGGTAGATGAACAAAATTCTAATTACTTTAAAGGAAAATAATAATGTATACTATTGAGTGCATGTTATATTCAGGGACTATACTAAGTGACTTATATGGAATAATGCCTATATTTCTCACAACACAGTAGAATATGTACTATTATTGTCCCCAGTTTGCAGCCACGGAAACTGATGATCAGAGAGAGAAGCTTCTCATTCAAAGTCACACAGAGCTAGAAGCAACGGAGCCGGGAATCAAATCCAAGCAGCCTGACCCGAGAGCTGAGCCTTGGAACACTGTGCTAAAATACACACCCATTTTTAAATCCTAATCCTATTTGGGGTGCTGCTTTGAGATTTATACAGGCACAGCGAAAGGCATCTGAAGCTAAAAAATGGATCCCGTGTCTGTCGCCGGTACCTGCACACCTGCCTTTTGCCATTCTCCTCGACTCTCCACCCTAGTGCACCCTACTGTCAATCACTGAGCCATCAAGCTGTTGTTAAAACCAATCCATACATATTTCTTATTGACATTTTCTTAAAGTCTTTTTAAGAATGAGGGCACGAGCACCTCCTGGTAGAGGGTCAGACCTCAAGCCAGGCAGCAGGACTGCTGCTGTTCTTTCCTGGCAGCACCAGGGTGGGGTGAGGGGAGCACGGGGGACATGCCGCAGGCACCAGGTCCGCCTTTCAAACATGGGCCCAGACTGCACCAAGTGTGTGAGGGGTCGGTCAGGCTAATGAGTTCATTCTCTTTCCAGGTGGTTTCATCAGTTTCAATGGCTCCTGGAGGGTCCAGGGAATCCTGGCCATGTCTCGATCCCTGGGGGATTATCCACTGAAAAATCTGAACGTGGTCATCCCAGACCCAGACATCCTGACCTTTGACCTGGACAAGCTCCAGCCCGAGTTCATGATCTTGGCGTCAGATGGCCTCTGGGATGCTTTCAGCAACGAAGAAGCTGTTCGATTCATCAAGGAGCGCTTGGATGAACCTCACTTTGGGGCCAAGAGCATAGTTTTACAGTCATTTTACAGAGGCTGCCCTGACAATATAACGGTCATGGTGGTGAAGTTCAGGAATAGCAGCAAAACAGAAGAGCAGTGAACCCTTGGGGGTCTCAACTGCCTTAGACTAAAGGACTTTCAACACACTCGTCTCTTTTAATGTAGTGAAAGGAGTGGAAGTCACGGTTAGGATCATCGTCCCAGACGTGGGACTCCCCCTCCCTGGCCATCGTAGGTCTCCATTCAGTGATGACGAACAGAGGGTGCTCTTGGCTGACGTAGTTGAGAGGCTGGAAGAGGCTTCTTCATGTTCCCCAATTCTTTCATCCAGTGTCCAAAATATATAAATACATAGTTGTAGACTCACATGTATGAAGTGAATGGCATATGTGCGATATAGTCTCCCTTGTAAGATTCTTTTCAAGACCCCTCACAGGGCCTCCCGGGCATCAGACTGTGTGTCCTCTCTTTGGAGCAGTGAGTGGGACAGGCCTCCCAGAGCTGCAGGAGACAGGCCCCCGTGTCACCTGTGAGCCAGGGTGGCAGGGCCCTTTGCCGAAGGCAGGGCTGCCCGAGAATGCTTCGTCCTCCTGAGCCCAGATTTTCAGCTCGGCTCAGCCCGGAAGTGGATTTAGAAGGGTTTGCTCCTCCACAGCTGCTCAAGGAGACTGAGGGGGCGGGAGGTAGAGTGGCCTACACAGCAGAAATAAATACCCTTTTTCCCTCGCTCCCTTTATTAGTTAAATAGACTTTGTGTACCACCTGACCAGTCTTTGTGCATTTATCCTAATTGTGCATGACCTTAACCTTTTGCCTACATTTTTAAGTAATAGGCAGCTGTTAAACTTCAAAACCAAACACTATGATTTTTTTTGTCTTATATTGCCAAGAAACCTATCAGGGGAAGTCAAAAAATCAAATCATAGTATCATAATTCCTTCCATCTTTAAGGGTAGATAGAGGGAAATAATGGCTAAGTCACCATCCCCCTTGAGAAGTCTGTTGTCTGCACTGGGAGAGGAAGCTGGTGAGGCTACCACCCTGAACTGAGCTCCAGCTGCCAGTGTTTATGCTTTTTGTGTCTTCGTCCCCCACCCCCCCTCCCACCCCTGCTCCCGTCCTCCTATTGTAGTAGCTTTCAAGTGTTTTTCCAGGAGTGTTCAGAGAAGCAGCCTAGAACTGCAGGTGTGTTCCTTGCAGCTCCGCCCGGAGTTCCCAGCCACGCTCTGGAATTTGGTGACGATCTGCTGGGCTGTGCTCTTCCACGGTGGTGGAAAGCAGCAGCTCCTAACGTTTGGCTGCAAATCCCTGTCCCAGAGGGTGGCTTTCCCCAGGCAAACCATGCGGTGACAACAAAGCTGTGTGGGAATCCAAACTCAAACTTGTACTGTTAATCTGCCCAGAGTTATTTTGGGGCCAAGCTTGCTGCTTTGAGTTTCCTATCACCAAAGGCACATTTCTAATCTCAATATTTTTTAAGTCAATTGACAGAAAATACTCAATCATCCTGTTTGCCTGACCGCTGTGGCTCAAACAGCCAGACAGGACTTTCACTGTGTTCCCACACCCCGAGTCTGAAATGCCAGGGTGTCCACCTGGTTCTGTTCTTTTGAGTCGGCATTTGTCTTCATAGCTTCTCAAAGGACCCATTCCCTGGCACCTTCTGCCCGTGGTGCCCTCCCCTGCCTTTCTTCAGCTGTGGAGCTTTTCTGAAGCAGATTCCAGAGAACCTGGGGGGTGGAAAGGTTCCTTTCCGATGACCGAGGGCTGACATCGCCCTTGAGTCTTCCAAACACTTGCCTTTCTTTGACTGGGAGAATCAGTAGCGTTTTCCCAGAGATTTGCTTACTTTTGTAAACTGTAACAGTAGAATTATAACATCCATTTTTTTTAGCTATAGAATGTTCCAGTACAAAATATCTACCACCATTTAGATGGAGGGATTTGCCTATTAAGAGACACAGAACATGTGGATGTGTGTATTTGGGCTGGGGGTCAGGTGGGGTGTGGGAGCCGGGCTGACCGTCGTTGGTGACGGGACAGTCAGGCCGCGTGGCGGAGTTTGCCCGGAGATGCAGGACGTTCTGACTCTGGAGTGTGACCGAAACCCACCGTCTAACTCAAGTTCAGGAATCAGCAATTTCTTCTTTTTCACCGTGACCATCAATTTCCCCTTTTTATTTTTAACTTCACCCCAAAATTCATAATCACAAGAAAAGACATTTTTAAATGCCATGGTCTTTGTTATTGTCTAAGATGAAAATGGTATTTAGTGAAGATGAGAAGGGAAAGCTGCTGAGTTGGTAAACAGTGTGTATTTGCCCTGTGGAATCTCAGCAGATGGTGCTGAGGGCCGCAGTGTATGACCCTTCCTCTGACTGAGGTTCACAGTGCGTTTTCTGAACTTTGCTTTGTAGAATTAATTCACTTCTGCCCTGAACCAAGTAGTATGTGTATTTCCTGTTCCCTTTCTGCCATTTTCCTCTCCTTTTGGCTTGTAGGTTTTTAAAAGAGAAGTTCTAGTTGAAATAGCAGCAGTTTGATTAATACCTGTCTTTACTATCAAAGTATTTTGCCTCCTCCCCTGTCTCAGAGCTCTCCCTCCCAGGCCCTCCTCCAGCTGTTGGGGGTCTACAGACATCACCCTCGGGTGCCCTGTGGCTCACAGCTGCTCCCATTTTCTAGGGACTGGGAAGGGTGCATCTAGCTATTAGGGAAGTTGATTTGCAAAGTTTGCCTGTGGAACTTCCCTAACTAGCCCCGCCAAAGCTTTGGGTGCCGCCCACCCCCTGAGGCTGCCCAGCCTTCTGTAGCCCGAGTTCGCCTTGCCAATAGCCCCATAGTGCCAAATTAGGGATGATTTTATAGTGTTTTAGAAACAAAGCTGGGAATGAATGACCACACGTTTCTTAGCCCCCCAGCCGGGCGCCACGCCCAGGGTCTCCTCAGTGCACTCTGCCCTGCCGCCAGTCCGCTGAGTGGGGGTGGGGAGGCTGAAGACAGGGACAGTTTTTTTTTAATCCATCATATTTCCAATTCTCTAATCAAAGGAGTAAGCAATACTTACATGGAAAACTCGAAAGCTAGTTCCCAAGACCTGCATTTATTTTATGGGACCGATTAGTCCGAGGCACTGAACTCTGAAGTCACTGCTCTAATACACATAGGTGCACGTTGCTGTACACATAGGTGCACGTTGCTGGTAATAGGAGGCCACATGCTCTTCCTGCGTTAGATCGAAGGCACTGGCCTCTTAAATCTTGTCTATAACCTCTTGTAATGAGAGTATCACAAAGAGCATTTTACAGTGTGAAGGAGCACATGCGCTCTGGGTCATTTCAAACAGGCCTTATTTCATACACCTGTAGTGACGTCAGCTCGAGTCCATTTTGTGCAAACGGGATTGCATGCGAGTGATGACATCATTGTTTTAATCCTACCTAAAGTAATTTTAGGAAGTTGGTCACACTATTGAATTGGATCACTGGATAGCTGGCAACACATGAAGCATTCACAAAGGCAGCGGTCACTGTTTTCTTTGCCAGGAAGATACCTTGATATTTCTCCTGAGTTGTTGCCAGATCAAACTCTCTTGCAACTGTGTCAGTGCAAAAGGTTTAGAAAGGGCAACATTTCATTGTACATTTGAAAGTATAGCAATACATACTCTGGATAAGACATTATTTTCCAGTGATTTGGGAAATTTTTTTTCCTCCTTTTAACCCATCATTAGACTGATCTTCCCTTAATATCCCACCCAACAAATTGCCTTAGCTCATCACACCAGCATCCCTGACCCCGAAATGACATGACTGTTAGATACACACTGGGACCTATTTACTGCCCGGGGTGAAATCACTGACATCTAAACTTTTGGGCTAGTCACTGCACACTACAGAAGTGGAACCCGGGGTTGCCCAAAGTGAGTTCCACAGAACACAAGTTCCAAGGACACTCTTCCAAATATAGGATTTCAGGATCAAAGGGGTTTGGAAAACACACTCTCTCAGAAAGTTAGTGCATATATGCATGTCGAAAGTTCTAATGTATTGGAACCTTGGAGGATGAGGGTGGGGAGAGAAACACACCACAGATGTAATTTTAGTTAGCTTAGTGGTTTCTGGAGTCATTTGACCACAGAAACGTTTATTGAGTAATGCTCAATAACATCCTAAGGCGAGAATGTTCCATAGGACCCACTTTGAGAGATTTTGATATATGGAAGTATTACTGTTTTCTCATTCACTATGACTCTTTGTAATTGCCATATAATTTGCAATTTAGAGGCACTAATCCTGTCGAGTAAGAGCCTGGTCTGCTCAGGAAAGCAGCATTAAGAAAGTATCATGTAATGTGGTTATCAGCAGCCTCACCTTGGTAGCAGGTGCCCGACCATCCCACCTGCAGCTCTAACCGTCCTCTCCCTTCTTCCACGTGGGTGATGAGCGGGAGCCTGGCCCACCTGGGGATTCCTCAGGTTCATTCCCAGAGCTTTCCGTTGCTGTTTTAACTTCTCTTTGCCATCCAGACCGAATCAAAATAAATATTTTTACATCACATCACATCACTATGTAGGAGTAAAAAATACTAAAAAGAATAGAAAATGAGGAAAAAGTTATAAAGATTAACATTTATTTCCTTTTTCCTCTGTCCTTCTTTCCAGATTTAATGAAATAATTTAAAATCAATCAAAGCTCATTTGTCCTAAAATCCCTGCCCCATGTTGTCCACCATTCACATGTTATGTATATAACTAAGTTTGTCAGGTTACCTCTTGCCTGAAATCAGGCTTCTTGTCACTCTCAACTTGGACAATAGGTTTGAGAAACTCTGAAAGATAATCCAAAAATAACAGAGGAGACGAATCAAGTTGAAAACATGGTACAGAGTGAATTTAGGGTAAAGTCATTAATTAAAATCACATCCAATATTTAGGAATACACCCACCCTCTAGATGTTGTCCAAATTCTCATCCCCACTGTTAAGCTGAAAACTGTTTAACCAAGAGTTGATTACCATAATATTTACATGTTTGGTAATGACCACATCATCATTTGTACAATCACTTTAACAAACCCCAGTTAAGGACTCTGAAGAGAGCATGTAGTCACTGTTCATTTAATAAATCACCATAGGCATTTTCACAATTTAAAACCCCACCAAAAAGCAGCAAGCAGCAAAGATGTACATTATATTTAGAGGTGTGGTTCCATTTATTCTAGAAGCCCTAAATATACTCTGGCCTCTGCCATTTGCCAAGTCCAAATGAATCTCAAAAACCTCTAGAACCCAGAGTGCCCAGCTCTGCACAGAGCAGCTTATTGTAAGGGCTTGGTGGCGGGTTGTGGCGGGGGCTCCTTAGGGGCAGGATGGTCCTCCCGGGCCACCAGCTGCCTCTGTAGGAGAGGGACTGTGTACCCATCTCCTTTTGTCGTGAGGAATCCACAAGCTAAATGTGGTATCATGCATTATTATCTCAGCAGATTTGTAGATTCATTAGATAATGCATCGTTTAAAATGAGTTGATGCCAAAGCAAAGGTATTGGGAAAAAAACCTTTAGAATGCACAGATGTTAAAAATGTGAGAAGTAGGTTATTTAAAATTTGGATTATCAGAGTTTTACTATTCACAGGTTATATTTAATAGTGATTTTTGACATCAGCACATAGATGAGTAGAAGGCATTTGTTCCCATTGGCACCTATTCCAATGCAAGTCCTCCCATTTACCGTTTTGGCCAATGATTTGCTTGCATGTTAATGAAGA